CAACAGTTTCAGTCTCATTCTGCAGTGTAATTGTTGCAAGATGAACTCAGCGTTTTGTTTCAGAGATGTACAACAAATTGATAGATGACACTTGATATTTTTTTTTCGTTCTTTATTTGATATAAGTTTATTTTAGATTGAGGGATTGATTTCTATAATTTTCTGTTTTCCCTTTTACTGGATTTGTTTTTATGACCATTATTGTTATTGTTACAACTGTGTTTATTACTACTGATATTGGAATTTAGCTGAAATCTCTAGTAAGATCTACAAATCTGCTTGGATACATACTGCGTATAATATATTCCTTTAAGAATAGGAGGCCTGGATAGTCTCTCTCTCTCTCTCTCTCTCTCTCTCTCTCTCTCTCTCTCTCTCTCTCTCTCTCTCTCTCTCTCTCTCTCTCTCTCTCTATCTCTCTCTCTCTCTCTCTCTCTCTCTCTCTCTCTCTCTCTCTCTCTCTCTCTCTCTCTCTCTCTCTCTCTCTCTCTCTCTCTCTCTCTCTTTCTCTCCCTCTCCCTCTCCCTCTCCCTCTCCCTCTCCCTCTCCCTCTCCCTCTCCCTCTCCCTCTCACCATCCCTCTCACCATCCCTCTCCCTCTCCCTCTCCCTCTCTCCCTCTCAGATGTGACTGAAAGGAAGGGAAAGAAGGTATAAAGGGAAGGAGAGGTGGAGACAGTGGAAGGGGGCGAAGTAATGGGAGTGTCTAGGAAGAAGATATGCGGACGGAAGAGGGTTAGGGATAAATGACTGAAAGCAGGACTAAGAAAGGAAAGAAAATGAGAACCAGAAATAGGAAAAAGGATGACGGGTGTTGGCGAAGGGGAAGTAAGAGTGGGGTAATGGGACAAGGAAAAAGAAAGGAGAGGGGAAGCCGGGAACAGGGCCAAGAAAAGTGGGAAACAAAACCATTTAAAGTTGTGACGCTGTGGATCTGTTGCGCGTTCTTTTGCAAGAGTTCGGCACGGGTTTGGGCTTCGTTTTTGGCGTTGTAATTCCGATGTCAAGATTTTTTTTTTTCTCCCTCATTCCCTTCCTATTTTCTTGTTTTTTTTCGCAACTTTCCTTTCTCTTTTGTGGATGGCGTTGAGGTATGTTTTTCTTTCTTTTTTTTTGTTGTTGTTTGTAAGTCCGACTTTGTGTATTCCTATTTATATTCATTCTTTATCTTATGGATATTTTTACCAACGTCTCCATCATCTTCATTGTCATAATCACTATCATTATTGTTATTAACGCCAGTAACAGTAACATCACCATCATAATAGCAGTGACACCACCATCATCTTCATTATCATCATTACCATAATCAACATTACCATAATCAACATCATCACCCCCACCATCAACACCACCAATCGTCAGCATCACCACCACCACTCATCATCATAACCAGTCATCATCATCACTACCACCATCGTTATTATCATTATCATCATAATCATCACCACCACCACCAATCATCACCACCACCGGTCATCACTACCATCATCACCACCTTCATCATCACCATAATCACCAATCATCATCATCGTCATCATCGTCGCAGTCCACTTTCATCCCTCATCCCCTCCCCCTTTCAGAAGACGCCAAATTGATTATACTATTTTGAAGTTGTTTTTCTCTGGCCGGAATAGCGACTCTGCTGGGCTTAATCTCCTCACAAAAATGAGAGTCATGAGCTTACGGCTGTGTTGTGGGGCAGATTGTTTTCTTGTTGATTTATTGATTTTAGCTATTTGTTTTTCGCTTTTCTGGGTCTTATTATTTTTCATTAGCTTTTAGTTTTGTTCTTTTTTTTAACATATGTTAGCAATAAGAAGAAAACAAGAGGGAAAATGCTCAAGCAAGCACCCTGAAATGATTTCCACCGTCGGCCTTTACCTCTCTTTCGTTTCTCACACTTCCACACTTGGTTATTTTGCTTGGACAAGTTACAGATGGTTACATACGTATCCATCCAGAAAATGAGTGGTGGTTTAAGTATGCAGTATTTTAAGTTACATGCACGGTTATCGTGTACAAGATATTAGTTGAAAGTAAAAAAAAAAAAGGCAGTCAAGTCGCACACAGCGTATCAGATAAGGTAATCCATTGCTAAATCCTGCTGAAGGATCGTATTTTTTGTTCATCCATTAGATAAGATAATGAATGTTTTTGGGTCTTAAGGATACGTATTCCTATTTTTTTCCTTTTTGTTTTATTTTCTCGCGTGAATGTTGTGTGTGCGCCTTTGTAAATGTGCTTGTGCGTGAGTGTCTGAGTGAATAATACGAGGAGTGTATTTTTGTAGAGCTATTAAGTTTTAATGGAGAGGGCGACAGCGGAATGAGCTCCTTCCCGCCAGAGGTCGAGCGAGCGCGTGCCCCGTGACATCATATAACAATTAAACCCTTTTTAGGCAACATTTCAAGTCACGAAGAAGAACCCCCTTTATAGGCCCATTTGCTCATTCAGTTCGCCCTGTTGATGTCACCGGCCGGCCGCTGACGCACTTGGGG